CCTGACTTCATCAGACCTTCCAGTGTTTCCCATAATTTGTACGAAATCTCATTGAATGATGACATGGATTGAAAAACCCAATTGGAACAGTTTTCAGTTGAAATCCAGCCGTCAACAGCCTGGTTACACATAAATATGTCTGTCTGAACAACTAGCAGAAAAATACATTGTGTTCACTCAAATCCTACTTCTGCTTGGCTTAGGCCCATGCTGGAGGATGAGCCGATTTCTACGATGCCTCGGTGGCCAAGTTGGTGCGGACAATAATCTCAAAGGGACCGGGTGCAGATCAAGTGTGTTCCACGTACTAATGTGCCCCGTTTCTCAGATACCCATGAAAGATCTATGCGAATAGCACACGTCATACCATCAGACCTCCTTCATTTGACACCGCGCCCCTTGCACTTAAACCATCAGTCGTGAACCGGAGAAAACCGATATATCAGTGAAACAATTTGGACTGTTTAGACTATCTAGAGAGCAGTGTACCGAAGTACATTCTGGTTTACACTGTGGAGCTGCATTTTAGTCGACACCAAGGTTTTGATGTTGATCAGGATGTTGCACTAACGATAGCTTTCAATTAGTTTCTCGTCACTCGTCCGCCAAAGACAGAACCAAGATGGAACGGGGTGACAAAAGTTGGGTAGATCACGCACGATAATGATTACAATGAAGCGACAGTTTAATAATAATAATAATAATAATTGAGCAACAGCATTAACCCGAATGTGGATCTGATCAGCGCGAGGGATATGCGTGTGACAGACAGTACTCATTATGGGGAATCGCACCGGTGATCAGATTAGCCGGGCTCGTTAAGAACACAAGCAGAATAAAAGTAAAAGTCAGTCTACCGAAGGTGTGAAGTTGTCAGTTTTGTTAGGGCATTTTTCCTTTACGAACGCCCAGATTGCCATTGTTTGATGAGGTGTGATAACTCTAAGGACATACTTGATAGTGACCGATTGGAAAAGCAGGTTGTTTATTCTGATGAGGGAAAATCGACCTGTGCTTCATTATTATAATAATTAGGTGTAAGTGAAAAGTAGCTATCGTGGGCTGATGAGTACATTCATACCGCGTCGCTGCATTATTTCGTGAAATACAGAGCACCTCACTAAACACTGGCAAGCTCACAATGCATGAAAAAAGATGAGTGAGAATGTGTAGGAAGAAGAGAGGTTGGGTTTATTTTGAGGGGAGAAAAAAGTGAGCCTCCATGATCGTCACACGGAGTACACAGCCGTGCACTGTACATACATACTTTTTTCAAGCATTCTAACCTGATAGGAGGTCAAAACAAGATTGTCACTGCTGTCGGTTCGCTGTCATATTATTCGATGCATCTAACCAACCAGTTACGGAGTATTTGGCACTCCAGACTGGAACATGAGAGACATCTAAGCTACCTAATCCTCGTGTAACCAACGTAATGACTCGTCTCCAATTATCCGTTACCCCCGCCCCTGTGTGATTTCCTTTCAATCTGGATTGGGAGTTGCAAACAAAGACCGGCACGGTAGACAACCGTTGGGCATCAACACTGTGAACCCTCACGACCACACGTACTAAGTGAATTTGATGAGACGATGAATTCCCAAATACCTGACCTCTGTATTGCTCATCCCATCGATTTTCCAAAACCCATAGTCGATGAACGTGTTTCACTCGCAAATTCGCGATCCCAACCGTAAAGCATCACTGTCGAAACGGCACCACAACACAAGCGATCTGTAAAAACTCACGAGGTCACCACAGGTGCTTCACATTTCCGTACGGTCCCAAAGCCTTAAAAATGTTTGCCGTCATCTCCTTTACTACGCCAAATTGTTGGTTCGTTAAGCGCTCGTGATGTGGTTCGTAAGCCAACCTACCTGTAAAACCAATGATCATTTAACAATCACGTTAATCTATAAGGAAAATTGGGGATGGAAAGGAGACAAGAAAAGAAAACCACTGCTATGAAACGGTTGGTCTGGGAACTGCTAAATCTCGGATCAATAAGTGGCAGCTGCGTGAGATGAAGACAGAAGGCTGGAAGGATGACCCAAGTGAGTAACCTACATTACACCAATCTGATGTGCCTCTTCCTTCAACCAGACCTGATACCGTCTCGTTCGAACTGGTCAAGAATGCATACATTGAACGCTTCATTATGGTCGGGGTGGGTGTTCTGGGATTGTGACTGGTCACCATTTCCTTACACCTCGCGAAATGCTCCTATATAACCAAGCGTCTCAAATAGCCTCTGCTGAGGAAGCTCTACTCACTGCCTTCTCGTGGCGGAGGTGTTTTCCCACCAAAGTGAGAGGACGAAAAGCCGATATCCGCGATTATAACCGGGTTGGTGAACCACTGGCAGTTCCGAATTCTGGTTAGACCAGAGGCAAGTTAGGCAGTTGTTGACGTTTGCAGTAAACCGGTAGCGACATTTCACTCATCTTGACTTAGTGCTACAGCAGACAATCGATTTCCATCGCAGTGACTGACTTAAGAAAGTCGTCTCACCCGAACTTCAGTAATCTCGGCAACTATAGAAAGTACAGTCCAGAGTATAAGGCTGTCGTTTTGTTCTTCGGGACGCAGCGCCACTCCAGCCAGTCTCCGGAGTCAAGTCCTCTGGCAATTCCATACATGTTATTCGGATATAAATTGCGTGAAAGCCATGGCACGAGGTTACGGCTTACTGACCTCCTATAGACTCCCAGATGGAATGAGTGATCGTGAGTCGTACTCCATGTTGTCTGGATTCAAAACAGTCAAAACCGGAATTGTAGTTTTCAGTTGAAACCTAACCTGCCTCTGAGAATTCCCATAATACCAATTTGGAATGGATTGGGATCAATAACAACCGTGGGAAAGTGCAGGTATTTTACCGATGTTACTAGATCTGTTGAATCCAGAGTAACCGACAGAATATGACAAACCGATCTGCCTGTTTCCTCCATCGATGTTCTCGCCATCTTTATTTCGGAAAAAAGCAGAATCTGCGCGACCGTGTAAGTATATAGTGTTAGAACGGAGCCTAAGCAACCCGTCCGATTGCGCACGCCTCCGAGTCAGGCCACACGCACGCTCGCTCCAGACAGGCTGAACCTGATTGGATGATCACAGAACGTGTCAGCCAATGTTTGTCCAATCGATCAATCGATATGTCAAGGACACAATCTGATTGGTGCGTCACTGCGCTGTTCTCGAATGCACGATTAGCTCTATTTGCTTTGCGTATCGATAACTTATCAAAAACAATACATACTGACTGTGTCTCAACCTGTGTTCTCTCTCCGCGTTGTCGTTGGGGCTTAAGCAAGAGTCACTCGTGTCATTCGTACGCCTAGACCAAACACAACATATAGAACAATTCTCCACCCTTTAACGGGCTTCTATCTGTCGCTTCCAATAAACGTTTGCACTGATTGCAACCAACTTTTGACTGGAATCTTTAGGAACGTATTATTGGATAAGAGTCGACGGCAGCCTGGCTTGCAGACACAACACCAATCCTAAGCGGTGGTTGTGGACCTTCGGTCCAGAGTTTATGTTGATTTCGTCGGTCCGATTGACGGTCTTCAGTTCCTCATTGTGGTTGACCTTAATAGGTGACTGCAACGTTACGAACTTCGTCGGGCAATTCGTTTCCCTCTGCAAAACGATAAACGATTAAAATCCTACGATTCTTCTTCGACGAGGAGTGTAAGGAGAGCTCGTCAGAGCTCATACAGATCCGCGTTACACTACATCAAAAACAAAACGTTCCAAGACTGGATGACTGTGAAACGAACCAGATAACAGTTTTTCGACCAATCAATCGCACAGATCAGGACACAATCTGATTGGCACTTTATTGTGTCGCTCCAGTACCTCCGATTTGCCCTTAATGTAAGCGTGTCTTACCATGAAAATAGAACCTACTTCGGGGTGTCATGTTACCTCTCTCCGCTGTTGGGGGATGAGGCGTTTTTTCCGATCGTACGCTTAGTCTGAACATATCGGTCCCCTAGCACCCTTCTCCTGGTAGCGCACTGTATACTTTACTCGACTGAATTTGTCCGTATGCCACCGTTTTGTTTTATTCAGCCATATCGGCTGATTTCAGAGGTTAGTTCATCTACAGTTGTTC